ATGTGCTTGTCAGACTGATGCTTTTGTGGTCCACATGGCCATTTTCTGGAATCTTTGGAGAAGAGAAAATGAGCCGGCAGAGGGCAGCATCCGCCTTTGCTTCCGCATTGATACCCTGGCTCCACAGGTAGCTCGCGGGAACCACATAGCTCTTAAACCACTCTGGGAGAAATAGACTTTAAAAGTGACACAAGTGTCAGAGCTCTGTGAATGTATCATTACCATTGTGTAAAAAAATGTGTTTTAATCACTGAGAGGTTATGAAAATATTGGTACTGGATGATAGGGTGATAAGGTTTGTTTTCTCCCCCAAATTACATTGATTTTAATAAGAAAAAAATATTAACATGGAAATTTCACCAGTTTACATTTCTAGTTTATGTTTTGCTCATACATACACCATTCTATTTGTGTTTCAGGTGGTCCATTAAATCATGAGGAATAACATGGAGGTTAAAAGCACAGGTTCCAAAAATTAGACCTGCTTGTGAATCCTGCTCTGTGCCTCACTAGCAGTGTTGCCTTGAAGAAATTATTTAACTTCTCTAAGCCTCAGTTTCCTCCCCAGTAAAATTAAGACGCTAATAGTACCCACCCAGCGGCTGGTCTGAGGGATTTAGATTGAGTCATGTTTATAAAAGTGATGAACAACACTTCTCAAGGAATTCTGGCTGATTCCTTGTAACTTCAGTAGATGTTAGCTGTGTTGTTGTCATTAGTATTATTCTATAAGTTTTCAATTTTAAATTAAAACAGAAAGTAATTGCTCATGGACAGGCTTTATGGCTTATCTCAATTGGTCCTTTAATCAACTTTGCAGTGTGCATATTGCTTTTAATATGATTTTGACATTTTAAAATGAGGGAACCGAGGTGCAGTGAAGACATTTATGTGGTAAAGGGTAGCGTCAGGATACCAACCATTCTTATGATGTCCGATTCCTCATTCTTTTTAATGCGTAACACTGACTGTTGTCTTTGGAGCAAAGGAAAAACACTTGGTTGATTTAATTAAATCTTACCAGGAAAAAAAATTAATGCACATGCTTCTAAACCATGTAAAATCACTCACTCAC